CTACTTTATTTTATCTCCATAACAAAAGGGCAATTATATGCCATAAAGTTGGTATCAACTCTTAGGGATATTTGTCCAATAGTGCACTCCTCGACACTCTGAGCCCATCCATTTTGCTGCTGGTCATCCTTTTTTTCCCCTTTCACCTTTTTCAGAATTATAGACTTATCAAGTCTTTGCATAAATCTTTGCATAATGTGTCCAAAACATGATAATTTGAGCATCATGAATTGTCTCTCAAGTGGTAACTCTGGATTTCATTTGTTTCATGATTCTTTAATTTGCTTCTTTTTCCATTCATGATATGGTACCTCAGGAATGTTTTCCAATATCAAAGTTCAAAATCATTGCTAGTCTTTCTATTCCTTTTCAGAGTCTGACTTTCACATTCATAGAGCAGAGAAAACCAGTATTTGCATAATTCTGATTTAATTGGCATTTGTAGCTTCTTTTCCAATACATTCATTGCTATTGTACCAAGTGTTAGTTTGTGGTACATTTCTCGACTTTTATTAGATTTTTAAAAGCAGAAGGTATCCATCATGTAATATGTTCATTGTTATTTCAAATGTTGGTTACTTTAGTTATTATTAGTTTGGTCTTTGCATTTAATCATAGTCCCATTTTATGTGTACTCCTTGACTCATATTACTAGAACTTCAGATAATTTGTATGAGGACAATGAGATGTTGTAGGATTTCCATTTTCATAAGCACATTGCATAGCTTGACATGGTTAACACAAATGAAGGTTTTTTTAGCAGCAATTGAATTACACTGGTGCACATTTTATGGCCATGTAGCTTCAGCGTTTGGTTGCTTGCTCTTTAGCAATTTCTTTTCACATGCATTCTTCACAAACTCAACACTTCCTCTGGTTCCCAATCAATGAAATTCAGGACACCAAAGCCAATCCTGTGGTCCATCTTGAAAATTATGGATATATCTCAAGATCCTATCATGAAAACGAATTGGCTTTCTTCTTTCAAGCCTTTTCAGCTTGACTAGGAAGTTGCACATGAGCAATCTGTGATCTGTTCCACAATCAGTTCCTTATTATATCTTTGCTGTTGCAATCAATATTTGATCATTGTTTGCATTTTAGTCAAGAACTGTCCTTACTCATATTTCCTGACTATAAAAGAAATGCCATTCCTTCTTTCATGTGTCCTAAATGTTAAAAACCATGATTTTCTGACTGAAAGTGACCATTCAGTTCAGTTCTCTGATGAAGTTGTCAAAGTATAGTCAATGCATTTTATCTTTCAAAGTGTGAAGTACTGAGTTGACCTATATTTATGTTCTTTGTATTTCATGGTCCCATTCTAATTCTCTCTCTTTTCAGTTTTGGCTTTTCTGGTCTTCTTATGGTAACAACTATTATATATTGTATTGTATTGTATTGTAAGTTTATTTATAGGTCTGAAGACTAATCTAGCTATGTCATAAACACCAATAGAATATGTCAAATGATTGTCAATGATTCCTTGAAAGTATGTTGAGGGCTTCTTATTATCAATCAATATATATATATACACATATATACACATACANAGTCCAAATAGGATATATAGGGGAGTGTCTCGTATCCCCCTCTTCTTCTGTGAGTCTGAAAAGGTCCAACAAGTCCGGAACAATCGAAGATGGCAGAGGGCTTTCTTGCACAGGCACTGTCCAGAGCAATGCCCCAAGGGTAATAGCAGATGGTAATGGTGGCAATAATCAGAGCCAGATGGAGGCGTGTCAGCGAGCCTAGAAATCCAACGGCCGCGACAAAAGGAGGCCAGATGTTAAGATGCCACAATAGAGGATAGTCAAGTGCTAGGCAGAAAACACAAGACAGGCAAAGAAGGAGTCACATCTGAAGGGCCACCTGACCAAACAAGAGTGGAGGAGGGAGGGGGCAATGGCGGAACGAAAACGGGGCCAAATAGGGAGGAGAGCCATCCGGAGGGACTGACGCGGCACTAGGCAAAACCAGCCGCCCAATTTTCTCAGTCCCAGCAGGGGTCAAAGCACTGTAAAGAGGGGTCCCCAAACTTGTCAAACAACTATGAAGCACATCTTTTTGAATTGTTAAAGCAGCTGCATTTGTTGCAAGTCTCAGATGACTATGATAGAAATTGTTTTGGTCATCTTCAATAATACAATAGCAGAGTTGGAAGGGACCTTGGAGGTCTTATTATCCAACCCCTTGCCTAGGCAGGAAGGTGTAGCTGTTTTAATGATTCAAAAAGAAACATTTCATACTCATTTCCACGCATTGCAGTTTTTGCTTTTCATGCAATCTTTTCACAGCCTCAATATTTGAAAATGCTTGCAAATGAGAAGGAAGAAAATTGCCATATGGTTGACCTTTAATAAAATAATTTATTTAAAATATGTATGTTGACACTGAGCTTATTTTGAATTCACTGCATTAAGAAAATGCATTCAAATCAGAGATGGGCAAGCAGGCCTCTGTTCATAAACTGAAAGGAGTTTTCTGAGATTCAGACAAAATATTTGGAAGGCCTTGAGTATAGAAGGCTACTTATCCAGTTAGGCTACTTTCTTTGGTTAGAACTGATGTTTAGAGCATAATTTTCTACTGGGGATAATTGAGTCTGTAATCCATTCCATCACAGGAATCACTGACACATTTTTGCTACTAGTGTCCTTCTCCAATTTCTATACCTTACTATAAAGGAGGTTTTTCCTGCAATGGGAAAAACAAGGCAGAGAATGCTTGGGCAGGACCATTTATTCATCTATTAGATTTTTATCTTACTTTTACTGCTTTATAAGTTACTCAAGATGGCAAACATACATAACACTTCCTCCCCCTCCTCCTATTTTCTTCAAAACAACCACCTTGTGAAATGGATTGGGTTGAGAAAGTGTGACTGGCCCAAGATCATCTAACTGGCTTTTATGCCTAAGGCAGTGTGGGAAGAAAGTGACTTCAGTACCCACTATGACATATTCTATGTCACCTTTGTCATGCACGTCATCCACCAACCTTGGCTATGTTTGAGCTCAATAAATCCCAGGTCATAAAACAAAGAACTGCTTAAGTTTTTCTGCTCATACGGCCTCTTGGGCTGAACTGGCTGAGTGCATCTCCCTTAAGATATTAGCAACTCAATCAAAATCCATAGAAATATTTTAGGGCATGTAAATTCTTTACACAGAGAAAGAGTTTGCAATTGGCCAAAGGTTGAAAGCCCATTGAGCTAAACATTGCTTTTAAGAATAAACAAAGGATCCCTTCCTCTGTGGGACTACCATTTCTAACTACAATGTTAATGGGGGGGACCCTGCAAACTCAGCAGGATGCCTAATTGAGCACACACACACCCCTTGGCTATCCAGCTAATTACAGTTTCCTATAATTTCTACTGGGCAGGATCTATTATTGGGAGGAACAAAGGGGAGGTATAAAGGCAAATACTTGAGAACTGTCCTGTATTGAGAATTGTTGTATTGCAAGTTATGTTGGCAAAAACAAACAAACCCTGACCCATCAAAATAAACTGATCCATCCTGTATATTCATAAGATGAGCTAGATTTGAATCCAGAACAGGAAGAGTAGAACTCAGAATTTCCCGTCCCAAAGGTGTTTTTAAAAAGACAACAGGACTTTCTTGATTTTTTTTTGAAGATGCTTCACTTCTAATCCAAGAAACTTCTTTAGTTCTTGTTGGATGAGAAATGAAACATCTTCAAGAAAGGCCAGTTGCCTTTTTTAAAAGCACCTTTGGGACAACCATGACCTGGATGACTGACAACCTACATAGAGATTCAGAGTCTCCTAGTTCTGGGTCAGCACCCTAACCACTAAATCAAACTACATATTTCAGTTCAGTCTATGGTGGTCTTCCATATAGCTGTAACAGCAGTGGTAATGGGATGGTATCTCATAGGAAGAAGAAGGTGTCTTCCAACTGTACGTTACGAACTTTTAGGTCATTTCAACAATTAGTGCTTGAATTACACTACTTGCCCTGAATTGTTCATTATATGCATTACCACCTTGCACCAGCGTATTCAAACCTGATGTAGCTAAGCAGATGCTTCAAAGGTCCTTCATAGAGTCATATGTCAAAGTACTCTTAAAGTGCCCTTAATGTACTGGATTGTAGCAAATTAGATTTGTTAGCATTACATTTAGTCATTGAAGTTCTGCCACAAACTTTTCAACTAAAATCTGCTTCAAATGAAAGTGAAATATCCCCATTTATTTACTTTTATATATGCCCATATCCCATTTTCAATGAAGGGTCACAAAGAACATTAACAATTATAATAAAAAGTTATTTTCCTTAAGGGGTTGTATTACTAGTCAATCATGTTTTCCAGATGTTTAGATCATTAAGGGGCCTTTTAATCTCAATATTGCATTGCCATCTGTTCCACTCCTTACCCAATGAGAATCAGAAAATGGGTTTAGCAAATATTTGAAAAGGTATAAAGAATACACCCACCCACCCACCCCCCACACACACTTTAAAAAATAGGAATATAGTAGTGTTTTAAATAGACAAAGATTTATTTGGAAAGGGTTTTTTTTTAAAAAAAAATTGTTATAGCACAGTTTGTGCTATAACAGGGAACAGAAAATCACTAAAATGCATGTCCCTCGTTTACCAAAGTTAGCATATAATTTGAAAAGGATCAGTTGCACTGAGGAGTTTATATTGTGTTCCAAAATAATTGCTTGCATGGCAAAAGCCATTTAGTGTCAAAATATCAGAAAGCTTCTGTTGGGAGATTTTTTAAATTGTCTATGTGAAATTTATCATGCATTAGAAAGATTGTCTTTCCTCTTTCATTCCCCAATGCATGTAATAACATTTCACCTCATAATGCTTGCATTTTCTGTCCTGACTTGATTAAAATGAGCCCTAAGGAAGGTGTTGGCTCAGTGACTACACATTTGGGAGCCTGTGCAGAGATCATTATGTTTCATGGTGTGGTGGGCACAGGGTCAGAGAAGGGGGTCTTTTAAGCTAACTCACCCTTGATTCCTCTTGAACGGGTACGTAGCTTTTTATCTTCTCCATCAGCATCCATCTGCAAGAAAACAGGAAGCATTCAATTAAATATGTTTACCACTGAAGACAGTTTTGATGTCTTACAAATGAAGGATTTATTAATCTGTTGTAACTTAGTTAAAAAGTCATCCATGAATGACTTTCAGTGACAGTTCAGAATAGTATTTCTTTAATATGCTCTCAACACAATTGCCAATGAGCTACAAATGACTGGTGATTTAGGGATTTACATTCTAATTGCAAACAAGAAATTTTGTGTATGTGTGTATGTACTCAGATGACAACTCCCTCTAGCCTAGAACATAGCCTAGAACGTTTTTTCCCTCCCCAATAAATATTTCCATCAAGATTCAAGCAGGGGCATGAAGGCTACTGTGTATTCATGCCTTCCAGGAAGTGGCATACAGTAACAAACTGCATGCAAATATTGAAGTTTCATTTATCTGTCATAATCATTATTACCAAGAGAAGTGTCACTAGATGAATTTGTCTAATGTCCTTTTAAATTCATGGAGGGATGAATTGTATGGCAACAAATTTCATACATTTCTGTTGTTTGGAGAAGGCAATTTTTGTCTGCCCTAAACTGACTCTCATATCAATTTTGTTTAAAATTATAGGAAAAGAGTTTAAGTTTAAAGTTATAGGAGAAGAGAAAAGGATAATAAGCTATTTTCTCAGCAGTACGGTGAGATTCAGCAACCAGAATCAGGCACATCATATCCCTAGAAACATGTACTGTATGTTGGTACAGTTTGGAAAAATGCTGAAATGTTTGTAAATTTAACACTGTATATGAAAATCTATGCCCATACTACTAGATAACCCATTAATTATTTTATGTTGTTATATTTGTGATATTTCTCACATTGTAATTAAATTATTTTCATATTTCTGTACACCAGAGGTGGTTTCCTACCAGTTCAACTAACCAGTAGTAATTTGGCAGCCTGGGTCACTGGAACCGGCAGCGACTCATGCATACCACATCCCCCAAACCGGTTCTCCTCCAGCGGCACCATCTTGATTTTTGGTTCTGCACATGCACAGAACAATTTTCATTGCAGAAATGTAATTTTTTCCCTTTTCTAACATTTTGTGCATGCACAGACCTTTTAAAATGCAAATGTGCACGCCGAACTGGCAGTAATGCCGGAAGCAACCCACCCATGCTGTACACCCTCTAGAAACACAGAGCTGACAGAAAATAAACAAGTATTTTAAATAAACCTTTTCAAGAAAGAAATGTGAAAAAAATATCCTAAGCCACAATGTAATACACATAGTCTTTTTTAAAAAAACCTTTCATGTTCTTCTTTTTCAAGACTATTTTATTATTTAAATTGTTTAGATTTGTGTTCTGCTTTTTTCCTCTGTAATTTCAAGTTACTGTATGAATTTCTGGTTCCTTTTGATTATTCCCACAATAACAACTCTGCAAAATAAACAAGATCATTGTCAGCCTCCGTTTTGCTACTGCTTCGGCTGCCATTGAAACGGGGAGGGGGGCATGGTATTTGGGAGGGGAATCATTGTTGTGCTGGAGGAAGATTC